TGAAGCTTATCTTTAAATATGTAAGCAGGCCCACTGCTGAAAACTGGCTCCTCCCCAAGCAATTAGATATGCTTCTCAGCTTGAGTGAGGTCCAAAACTCCCTCTCATTTCTGTGGGACTATCCACAAGGTAAAGTGTTCAGTGTGTCTTTGCAAGAGGGAACTTAGAAATAGTACAGAGCTTAAACACAGCAAATGTGAAGGAAAGATAACATGAAAATAAAACCCACTTATCAGCTACATCTAAGAAAATCATCTGCATGTGGGTTTTGTTTTTTTTTTCCAACCCGAATGGGATGATGCCTGTACACTGAACACTCCCAAGCCATGTTTGTACTTTCAGAAATATTTGTCTAGGTGCTGATTTTAAAACTACCATAAACAGTAGCATCATCTAGAAATACAAAGACTGATCCAACGAATCAAAGCTCTCTTTTTTTGCTTACCAGGGCTAAGGCCAAGCTCTCTCATCAAATCAGGGTTACAAGCACAGAATCTGTGAGAGAACTTTGTTATAAGAGTCTCAAGGTACTCCCCACGCTCCTCAGGAGCATGAATGTGTCTGAAGAACTCTCTCAGTGCATTTGGCAAGAACTGATTTCTGAAGTTGTGTAGCGTCACAAGGTCATCCAAAACATCTCGCCTGGCAGAATAAAAGCCCACATAATTAGAGAAGTTTCTTTTAACTGTTTAAATATGAAAATGTAGGGTTTAAAAATAAAAATGAAAGCTTTCAAATAGTTTGAGCTTTGTTTTTTGCTGAAAGAAAGAAAATTATCACTGACAGCCCAAAGATAATACAAACACATATTCTTCACTTACAATAGTAGCCAAATACGATAAAAATAGACATTAATCAGAATTCTAAGTTTCTTTATATGCATATTCAATCATAGTCTACGTAGAGGCTTCTCTTCCTTTAAACTGTCTGACAAAGCCATTAAAAAAAGACAGTAAAGGGAACAGATTCACATGCGTCACACATTTTGGTGCCCAAGTAGAAGCTGTTACAGGAGTATCTTGTTAAAACCAGGCTTAAGTTAGATAAAATTGCTCACAAACCCCCTTGAAACTCTAAGTCCATCAGGGTGTAATGCTCTCAAGTATTTCCCACTGAACACAGAAACATCTAAAGGATTCAGACTAGCCTACATGAACAGATGTGCAAAAGACATCTGAAGGAAATTTGGAAGAAAATCTGAAGTGAACCAAAGAATATTCTCTTATGTTTATCCTTTCTATTAAACACTTCAGGTACTAAAAGGGAAGTTTCAACACGTAGAAGCCTAGTTTTCATTTTTAGTGCCTGATTACACTCTATTTACAAAGGGAAGAAGAATGGCAGTAGGGGTTGCTAATATTAACTTGCAATCTCATCAATTAAAAATGGTTTTCTATTTTTTTCTATTGCCAAAAAAATCGATAACCTTAAATTTTACAGCACAGGACTGTCAGTGATAACAACACTATGGAATGAGTCCTTTTATTCTTTTAGTGGTACAGGCTGAAGAGGATGAGAAGCAGGAGAGGATTCCTGCTAGAAGCACTGCTGTCTCTCTGCTCTTCCTATTTAGGTCCAGTTATTACTCTCCTCCTCTTTCAACTTCTCTTGAACGTGCTGGTGCTCCTCTTTCCTGATACTGCACTACCCCAACCTGAAGGTATCCTGGAGGGCAAGAGAAAGCATTGTGGAGGTAGAAGAGCATGCTACAGCAGGGAAAGTGTTCCCTAGCGCAACACATGCTGTTTCCAAGAAGATGCTCTATTGAGTCTTCCATTTTAGAAATACTGGACAACCACATAATGATTAAACGATTCAACATTAGTTAAAAAGCCATCACCACTGGGTACAGTGGTAACTGCTTTTTCTGATTACACCCATACTAGATTGGAAAAACCTCATGTCAAAAAAAGCAGCAAAATATCTGTAATACCTGAATGTCATACACCACGAAGATTATCCTGGGCAGTTTAAATGTTTACTACAACTTCAGAACAATTTATGCCCAGAACTGCAAAAATGCAGAAAAAGCACAGTATGTGAGATTTACTACTTACAGGTGGTATTTTCAGGGGGTTTTATAAACTGATAATGTCACATAAATACTTGAACTGAGTAACTGTCCAGGTATAGCAGCAGCATCACTTAGTTGCATTTTCTTGCATTTTTACCTCCTTAAAATTACATCAATACAAGCAAAATATTGTTGAATGGTGCTGTTCATTGAAAATTAATAGGAAACGTCTCAAGAGAAATTCCAATTACCTTTCATCAAGGTAGATTCTCAGCTTCTTCCAATTTAGTGTTCTTGTGCAAAAGATAAACTTAGCTATTTCTTTTGGCGAATCATCTAGTATGCCCTTGGACATAAAGTAGTTGACTCCCTGAGATAAAATACATGTATATATAAGTAAGTTTAATCTTCATAATGCGTTTAGGAACAAGTATTGTATTTGGCAACGTAGGAATCCTACTAATTAGTCGAACTGTTTTTCAGAATGATTCCTCTTCCTCTAAATCACATTTCAACATGCACAATACGCTCTAAAATTATAAATCAAATGAAAAGAAACAATTTATTTTTATGGTTGAGATTTTACATAGACTAGGAAATTTAAAATTATGAACCCCATAACAAGCATGATGGTTCTTTAGCAGTTTCTTTACCGTGTAGACTAGTATTTTGGTTTTCATATTTTTGTAATTGTATTTAAAGTGCTGTGGGGATCACAACTTTTAATTTCATAACTTTTCTAAATAAGAAACTCTTAGCCATAATGTGCTTAGTCTTTAACACCTTTCATTAAAACATTCATGTTCTCACATGTATACAATGTACCACATTCAAATAGATGCATAAAATGCATTTGTTTAAATGTGTAATAATGCAAATAAGCACAAGCAGGCCGATTTCAAAGCATAGGTAAGTATCAACATATATAAATACGCATACACATAAATAAGAACACTGTGCCTAAAGTCAAAATTTAAAAAAATAGAAAAATTGTGTATATTTTATAGTCATGATTTCCAGAATTTTCTGCACTTTGCCAAGCACACATTTCTGACAGAATACACATGCCAAATTTAATTTAAAAATATTTCAGTGATATTCTGGATTCTTTCTGTTCATTGAAATATCATAGCATAAAACTACTTTCCTTATGATCTCAGAAATCAAAGCCAACCTAATAGATTTTAAAAATGCTCACATTTTTCAACAACAAAAATCTAAACCTGATAATAACTAACCAACTAGCTTCAATTCAATTTGGCAGGGGCTGGGAGTGGTTCTGAGCATTTGTTATAGTACTGAAGTACAGGATCTCTTCACCATACCATAACGGTGAAATAACGTAAAATGCGTAAGACAGTGCATTTCTACATAGGATAATGTACCAAGGCCACAACCTAAATCACCTTTAAAATACTTCTGAAATCTTTTTTTCATAAATCTTCTGATATCAGACTTCACAATATTTTGCAAGTCCACCCTTTTAGTTTACACTACATCTATAAAGATGTAGGGGCAACCTGTCATCCAGTGTATAAACTAAGTTCCCAGTGCTCTTCCATTTTGCTTAAGAAATAAAGGACTGAGTGCAGGTGTGGAAAGCTGTTTTATGAAGGGGATTAATAAAGCAAAGTCTCAGTTATATCAAGCAAAAAATAAATTGGAATATATCCTTAAGATATCAATAACACAAGCGAAAAGCCAACAAACACCTGTAATATTGTCTAGCTGGTTTTACCAGTCCATAATTTTGGCTTATATATTTACAGAAAATAGCAGTTAATAACATACTTTTGTTTTTTGTTATAAGAATATTTTATAAAATAAATAAAAATATAAAAGGTTTATCAGGTAAGAAAAAAAATCCTAGTAGTTTTAGGTCCCAATTTTAAGAAGAATATTTAGGACTGTAATGAAACATGTATTGCACTATATGCTTGAATTTAAGTCCAAATTAGATCATATTTAAGTTTGCCCAGAATATGGATGAGCAACATAAGGTTAAGTACTTTCCTGAATTAGAGCTAAATAGAAAACTAAACATGGGAGATCAAAATGAACATCAACTGCATATTAATTCCTCAAGTAGGGTGGCAATTTATACAAGACTAGCAGCAGAACATCTCCTTCACATATATCCTGACTTAATGAGACTTATGCATTTGCTTCAGTAATAAGTATTTGCTTAAGGTAATACAAACCGAAGCCTAGCGAGGAAGTCTCAGTCCTGCTGCAATTATTTAACAAATACTTCTGTAACATACCCAGAAAATACCTGGTATGTCATAGGTGAAGTAGGATGAAAATAAGACCTTCAAGACAGACAATGGGTCGGTTTCTCTGTGACAGTAAATGCCATAAGTAATTTATTTCATGCACTAGACTTCAACTCAATGTAGGATCTTCACCTGACAGGCTACCAAGTCTTTGCAAAGCACGTTTAGTCCCTGACTCTAATTCTCTCTCTCTCCCCCCATCACACATAATACTTGAAAATACCTTTCTCGGTGAATACAGTGTCATTATTGTTTTTCCTCATCTCCTTGTCAAATAAACAGGGTGTACATAAAATATACTTCAGCACATGCTGTAACTTTTAGTTGCTCTTTATTTCTTCCAAAGCAACCACAAATAATTTGCAACAACAGAAACCTGATTTCTCTTTAAAGTTCTTAAATTTTGGCTCACAGCAAATGAAATTTATTTACAAGATTTACAGAACATCATCAAATCTGCTTTTTGTAACACTGTAAACACTGCCTTGAATTCCTCTCAGAACCCACACTTCAAATAAAGCACTTTTGGTAGCTAAAATGGTCGCTTGTGGCAGGTATACTGGCTGAAATAAGTAGTTCTACACACTATTAAAATCTATGCTAACATTATTTCTCAGTCATCTGGTGAGTCTCTTAGGAAACATCTGACTGAAGTCAGGTGGGCAGATCTGTGTCACTATCTACCAGGACTGAAGAAGTCTTTTCAACACTGCAGGATGAGCACACATGGTATGTTCTAATTAGTGGAAGAGCAGTTAGCTGATCAGTGTAACAGCCAAGATTTCCAGTAGCTCTGTTTTTGCCTAACTTATATGAGGAGGCTGGTTGTTACCATAATGTTTGTAGCATTAGAGAATTGGGAAAGATGCCTTAAGGATACCCTGCCTTTGCGGCAAGAACATTACCACTGAAATTCAGACAGCTCTGGCTAAAATCTTACTGTATGAAAGTGTTGATTTTAATTATATGTGCAAATAACAATCACAGCTATAGACTAATAGTAACAACAAAAGCCATTTGTTGTATTTCAACATGTTATTCTTTACAGTTGCTCCTTTTTTTCCAGTCACACAACACCTGTTTTACCAACCTATTCTATTACAACACTGACACTCCTTCCTTGATTTCTACCTGTTTCTAAGAGTCTTTCCACTCATTTATATCCATACAGGATATCTAAAATTAAAGTTTTCTTTTTCAGTATTGATTTCATTTCTGCATTGATCTTCTCTGCTAAGAGTACTTTCAGGACATTTCAGTACAGTGGTCAACATTAAAACTTTTGTAGTTGCCTTTGACATGTCTGTTTAGATATGCATACAAAATAAACCAGACATATTCTAAGTTAACGGCATAGAAATTTTGGAATCTCCACATATATATGATCTAACTTTTTACTATTTAAATGGAACTGTTTGCAAAGTCAGAGTTGGCAGACAATGAAGCTTTTTACCTAATGCACATTTAAAATTAGTGCAGGAAAATGTATGATAAATACACTTGTCAATAAAGAAAAATTTAACCTAATATTTAAATTTTCAAATTTCACATAAACTGTTCAAATGCTCTATTTGTTTAGCTTAAATGGTTTTAAAAGGTGACTAGGAAATCACTAGTAGCATGTTAATGTTAACATTAACATTTTAAAGCGATTTATACGCTTTTACATTCTGGTAGCATTATGCAAGTATCAACCTAAAATGCTGATTTCTTTTTAGTCTGTACTGTATTAAAGAAAAGACGATTTTGATCACCAATTAAATTAAAATATTCTTAAATAAAAGCTGAGGAAATATAGGAATTCAAGTTCAAATACTAGCTTAATTATTTAGATAAATTCTTTGGGGGCAGTGACTGTAGTTTTATTCTGTATATACAGTATCTGGCATAGTAGGGCCTCAATTTCTAATTGGGACTTCTAGGTAACAGTAACATTATTAGTAAATAATAATTAGACACGTATGATATTATTAGTCCCATTTTTCTATGGAAGTGCAATATATCTTAATATATTTCATGGTGCATCTTCTGGAACAAAATACACAGTACTGATGTTATATTTTCTAGTAGAAATTTTTAAGATTCCTTTCCTAAGTTACATATCAAATCATTTGGTGACAAATGTGGACACAATATAGAACATACATTTCAAATAGTGTCTCTTTCACTGTCTTTAAAATACAGTCTCAGCAATACACATGTATGATGGCAGAAATCACAAGCAGCACGTAGAAAAATTTTTCGTGTTACATGGCATCCATAATTCATAATTTACAAGACTAAAGTTCTCTGACTTTAATGTAGAGTTTCAAAAGGTTTCAGCTGTCTGGTCCATTCCAACTTTTTTTGATAAATCACACAAAATAACTTCTTCCCTCTACAATATACATATACTTTTGATATTCTTAGGACAGATAAATCAATGCATCCCAAAGTTGGCTTGCCTAATAGATCACTATGAAATAGGATAAGTTTTCAAAAAATTTGGTTAGAAATATACAGCACAGTAAATACTCCATCAACTACAGACTACATATAATTAAAAGTCAGGTAAGGTGGCTTTATGCAAGCTGCTAACGATTAATTTATAATGAAGAAAAGGCCAGAAAACTGACCTCCCTGGCAAAAACTAAGGGTAGTTGGTAATGAATAAGATAACCAGAAGAGTAGAAAGCCAGGCTTAGTATAAGCACTGTACTTTAGTGTTATTATGCTACCTAAAGGCAGCCCTGACCTCATTAAAGTCTGAGAGTTTCACTACAGTCCAGATTACAATAGACACATAAAAATAAATGCTATTAAACAGAATGAGTTAGAATCATTAAGAATGAAACAAAAATTAGATCTTCTTTCCTGACCAAAGGATTCTCTTTTCCACCTTAAGTTCCAATTTTGACTACATAGCATAGCTCCATGTAATAAACTTGACAAAATATTTTGTAGGGAGTTAGAAACACTATACAAAACAGTGGGAAGTAACTTCTGGTTGCTTACAAATTCTGAGTCATAAGCGTATGAGAGATGAAATGAACACTGCATGAGAAACATTTCACATACACCATGCATTCTTTAGAATAAAACACAGCAGAGACTATGAACGCAGATTAAACAACATAATATTCATATTCAAGTGTTAATACTAACACTAAACCACACCCTCTCCCAAAGAAACAAAAATCAAGTTCGAAAAATCTTGGCTACAGTGGTGCTGTCATATGTAAAAATCCCCCAAAACAACAAACAAAAAAAGTAATGAGAAACCAAACATGCACTGGAGTTTTTTTGGGTTTTTTTTTCAGATTATGTGTAATGTGATTAGGCACATCCTGTCAGTAGAATGTGAGCACCTGCTATGAATTATGCAAGCTCATGCACACAATCAATACATTAAATTACAGCAGATATCACAACACCATGCACACAACAATGGCTAACCAGAGAATCCTACCACAAAGTGTGTAGATGCTCTTCCCTACCCCGTGAGCCACCGCTAGCTCTGGAGCTGTTGCTGTGGAGCCTGGTTACCCATTTTCATGACATGGGCGGTGTCCTTTGGAGAATCTTGCTCCTGTGGCTGTAAGTATTCCTATTTTTATAGTAATTTGATCAGGTCTGTTATCAAATGTAAAGCAGAGTTTGGCAGGAAATTCGGAGACGCAATTTGCAATAGTGGAATGTCATATCATATATTCCAGTCACAGTGTCCTTATAATAATAATTCTGATATTATTAGATCAGAATAATAATTAGATCAGAAGAATAATTAGATTAATAGTATCACAGTTGTAAATAATAAAAGCAATAGTATTTGTGAATTCTCCTGAAACTCAGGCCCTGAATGATTCCTACCAGGCTACGGTGCTCCACAGGGAGAGAGGAACAGAAGCCCTTAGGAGATATCCTGAGGTTCTTGCCTCTCACGAGGCCTGAAGCAGACTGTTTGTACTATTGCTGTACCATATAACCATAATGAACCCAGACAAAACAAGTGTAGCATAATAAAGTTAATACTTGATTTTGGCATACTATAAGGTAACTCTAGTTTGCAGATCCTAATTTCCTCTAAAAATGATGACTTTTTTTTTATTCAGTGCCTTTTGTGAAGGCTCCAAAAGCTTTAAACGTACCAAGATTACTTTAAATTAGGTTAGAATATAACAGCATATTATAAACTAAGATAGTAAGTGAAAAGTTATGTTAAACCAAATTGAAAGACAAAAATCTGGGTGAACAAAGCTGTTACCAATTAAAACCTGATATATTCTTGAAAACACATTTAAGTTACCTAGATGTTGCATTTCATTTGAAAAGCTTTACATTTATTACTAAATTTACTCCTGCTGAAAAAAAATCAATGCTAATCGCTCAAGTGGAAAGGTGCTAATAAGACATCTCAGCACTGCGTATCACAGTTCAAGGCAGAGCTCTACCAGAGCAATTACAAAATACTGTAATTTGTTGCTATTAAAAGTAGTGGGTTTCTTTATCAAGCAGAATATGAGATAAAGCAAGAATTTAAACAAAATCACATTATGGCAGTAACTCACACGACTGTTTTATTTATTTCACCCCTTGGCCACAAGTTCATGTTTTCTGTATCACGTCAGCAGACAGAACCACTGGCTCCCAGAAGTATACCTTTTCATGTCTCTTAATCCTTTTCCTACTTCGGATTTACTCTATTACCACACGTATATGTATATATGTAGGTATAAACACATACAGGAAGTTAATACTACTTTTTGTTCAGTACTGTGTAGCTTCTTTTCCTAGGAAACATGAAGCAGAAGTCTGGGTTTGTACACAAAAAGAGACTGTCACTTGGGCATTAATTGCACATCTCCCAAGCAAAAGCTGCCTACTCTCTTAACTCTCCTCTTCTTTGAAAGGTGACAGAGCAAAAGCAAAAATTGACTTTTCCAGTTAGCTACATGAATTAAAAAAAAAATTGAACCCTTTTAGTTTGACATGGGCTATTTTTTGAAAGTAAATACATGTTGCTATGTACTATAAAGAAAGATGATGTTTATGCATAACAAACATCCACAGAAATCAAATCAAACTGGTCTTTAGGACAGTTCAGCAGTACATCTTTTTCATAATATTTCAAGATTTGTTCCTTGAGAGTGGAAATATTTAAACATCCCTTACAAGAAAGCATAATTGTCACAAGTAATCAGTGTTACTTTATACCTCACCCTGCTTTAACTGAAGTGGGATCAAACTCATACCCTGCAGAAGAATTTTAGCATTTTAATTGATGTAAGAATATTACTACCCTTTCTAAATTCACCATTGTCTCTTCAGTTAGGATCTCTGCCTCATTCCTAAGTCAACATGTGGTTATAAGTTTCTGGCATCCATAGGTCAGACCACTGTACAGAGCACTTAAGAGGCAAGCCATGTAAATGATGTGCACAGGTATCATACGCAGAAAAAAGATCAGGATAGGGCTGTAACCTAGTATTAACCATTCCTACAGTAAAACAAACACCTATTAAAACCTGGCTTTTGATATGGCTATAATTATAAAACAATCAATTATTTTAACTGTTTTTACTGTCAGCAATAGTTCACTTACCTCATCAGGGTTGGCATTAAAGGTGAGACTGCCCTCATCTAGCTGCATATACAATTTTCTAAAAGAAAATCCTAGAGGCGGATTCTTATTGTATATAGAACAGTGACCCCAAGTGGATTTGCACAACCTATGAAAATAAAATTAGTCTATTATCAAAACTCCTTTCTGTATTTCATGTATTTTACAGAAGCAAAATGTAATCAACACTGCAAAGCCAAATACTCTAACCACAGGAAAAGTTAGAAACAGGTTGCTTGTATCACTTTGCTAGAAAGCCTTTTGCATGTGTGTTGCTAAAGTCTTCAATTATATGGTTATTGCTTTCTTCTCACACAGGTTTTGGTGTATTTGAGTGCAATCTCAAAAGATATCCCAGTAGGTGGCATCATAATGACACCCACACAGCTGAGACCTGTGGCACTCCCAGTACCTGAATACCGGGTTGCTGCGACAAGTTGCTCTTGTGCAGCAGTACGACAGATTAAAAAAATTGTCTCTTTTCTTGTGCCCCAGTTGTGCAGTGAGTGAGACACCACATCTGCACAAAATTATGCCACTAACTCACCGTTTTCCCTGTCTGTCCTTTTCCACCTGACTGTCCCTTTTTCCAGCTTGACCAGTCCAATTATTTGATCCAGCCCCATCCCTCTTTATCTTCCATCACTTCCCAGTTTCTTTCCCTTCTACCCTACCCTGACTCCACATCTCAGTTTCATGAGTTTCTGCCCCTCATCTCAGTCTCCTTCATGACACCACCGGAAATTCCCTTGAACTTTCACTTTCCATTGAACTGGTAGCTCTGCTTCAGCACATCTGCTTTGTAAATAATTAGGCACAATGCTTAGGACCCAGCAGGCAGCCACTGAGGACATGGGAGAGACTCAGTTCAGGAACCTGGGTCTTATTTGGACTTAGTTTGGAACTGCAGCCACAGGACTTGCCAAAGCCGAAACTCAAACATATCCAATACATGCGGAATATTGAAGACTAAGAGGTCTACAGAGATTATGCAAATTGAGATTTTTATTAATTTGCTAAATCAGGACACGTTTTCACTACCAAAGTGTATACTTTGAACTGAGTATTATTTGGTAAGATTTTACTAAAAATTATTGAGCTATTTCCCAGGATGAACTCTGAGGAAAATACCAGTGTTTTTTTCCCCTGTATGTTAAGAACATATAGTGCATACAATTAAGAAGCTATAGTATCTACAAGCCTTCATTCAGGGAATTTATTTGCATTTAGCATAGCTTCAATACCAAGAACCAAGTACAATACAATTCATACTGATATACATAAATTTAGAAGCTTAGTGGGATCTTCACTAGAATTCCTGTTTCCTGCCAAGACAACAGTCCCCAACAGCAAAGAAGTTGTGATTAAGAAGTCATAACTGCATTATCCTATTGCTGAGTTCATAAAGCATGACAGGAAGAGAAGCTGCTTAATTCAAATGCACAAAGGCAAAGAAACAGATGAGGGAAGGAAGAGGTGTAGAGCACAATGAAAGGAAAAGAAAGAGGACCTGAACAATAACCTAACTGTTACAGTAATACTACTTACTGCTTGTTAAGTTAAGGGGTAAGAATTACATTGTGAAAGAAGATACAAGTTCTGCTAACCATCTACTCTAAAGATAAGTATGATTTCATGAGTGTTTCCTAATGTTGTAAAACATAAAAAAAAAAAAATTAATGACATTTTGATCTTACACTATTTACTTTGATAGAATGTTCCTTTATTTATTTCCTGGACATGCAAACTCAGCATGTATTACATAAATGTGTTTCAGCTGTTAGACTGCAGAAATTCCACCTGACACATGTGCAGAAATGACCTTTTCTTTCCCCTTTCCATCACCATCTTTCAAAAACCATACACTTAAGCTGCTCTAAGACAATTGTAGTAGAGTAGAGGAGTTCTCAATCCTTTCTATCTGGAGCTTCAGCTGAATAGGTATGCTTGCTCCAGCTAGTTATTTGTTTGAAACTCAGAGATGTAGTAAGACAAACGTTTGAAAGGCGCTTTGAGCTAATACAAAAGTGAAAACAAGTCCTTGGTTTTTTCCCCATGATATATCAAACAACAAGTGTGTAGTAATATACATGTACACTTGTACCAGCACACCTGCGTATATAGTAATCTCCAGCAAAACCTGACAGTAATCAGAAATCCAGAATAACACATTTTTAAACTATATTCATGCTTCCCCTATGTCAAATCTCATTTAACTTAGGAAACGTTTGCTAAGGTTAGAATGACAAAAAGCACGTTTAGACAAATCTAACTTCTAATAATTATTTTTACTATGTCCAGGTGATACTTTTTTTTGCTTACCCTTGCCAGAGAAGCTCATCATTAGCAAGATCCTGCCAGACGCATGAAGCTAGACAGAGATCAGTTGCATTCAGGTATGACAAAATGGTAAAACTAAGCTCTGGTGGCAGCATTTCCAGATTAATGAATCCTTCTTGCTCTTTAGATTTTCTGGTCTTCAACAGGTGGTAGATGTCAATGCCTCCTTGGGCTTGTTTTCGATGGCTTGTACTGGAAGCATTGTTAGTAGCTATCCTCCTACCACGTTCTCTGGTAAGGTAGCCTTGTCCGCTGTATCCTTGGTGTTGCAATTGCTGGTTCCTAGCAACTCTCCAAAGTCCCTGACCCATCTGCGAGCCTGTCAGACATAAAATCCAAATTAAGCGTTGACAGCTATTTATAAATATTTGTAACACAGACTCAGCACACACTGGAAAAAATAAAATTGTAGGACTGATCTGAACAGAAAAAAAGTGAGTTTTGTCCAAGTTATGCTGATGATGTGATCTGTCTTCAAAGGAGCAACTGAATACTGAAAACAAAAGCTATTAAAAAAAAATAGAAGTTTTTTTCAAAAATTTCTATGCTTGAAGAGTTACAAAATTAACAATAAGCTGCTGCAAACAGTACCAAACATTATTTATGTCCCATGCAAGTTAAGAAGCCTTAACCATCAGAACATTTGGAATTATCTTCAGACTTCCTTTAAAATTTAATAAAAATAGCTTATTTAGAGTCACTGAAATGCTATAAAATGTAAGAAGAAACAAAAAAGTCCTGAGTGGTGGGTAGCACCCAAAATTAGGCTGTGACTGACATTAAGACAAAGCTTAACAACTTCAATGATAATGCATTAAGGATTCAGCTACTTGTTTCTAAGCACCCAAAATATCTTTTCAAGCTTTCTTGCGCAGTAGCATAAAAACTTCATGATAAGGCTTCTGTATCTTACTTATTGCTGTGTTTATTTTTTTTGTCAAACTTTGCTGTAGATGGTAATAAAGAGAACGGATTCTGAATGTTAGTCAGTTATCAGCATTTCCAAATGTCACAACTCAAATTTCAGTAACCACCTGTATTTACCAAGAGGGAAGATTAAAGTACAATAAATCATGCTAATTCAGTATGGGAATGCTGTCTTAATTGCATCACAAGTACTGTATATATGGTGATCTGTCTCATTTTTCAAGCTTTGCTATGATGACAGATCACTAAACTGATCATACCAGTAATCTGCAGGTTCCCGATGCTGACTTTCAAAAATGAAACACTTATGGCCTGGTCTGGTAGGATCTCACATATACATGGAATTATGTATATTACATTAGCACGGGGAAGTAAAAATGAGGCTTTAACACTGTTAAAGGTTGGGCACAAATGGAAACTGTTCTAAGAATGGAAACTGTTCTACAGAAGCTGAAAGAAACAAGCCATGCATGCAATGAGTGATTATGTGAGAAAAATGGAGAAATTAGAGAAAGTACAGAAAAAAAAAAAAGCATAAGCAAGATGGAAGCAGACAAGACAGGTTCAACTGGCTGGTGAAGCAGTTATCTACATAAGCATCCATTCAAGGGAAGTTCAAGAATTCATTTCTAGATAAGACCACACTTGTGAAGAAACTATAGGCACATGTATTATATTCAATTTAGTAATACGTAAGATTTTACATAAATTCATCATTATTTTTATTCTCATTTCTTGTACAGTTACATATTTGGCTTCTTTTTTTTATCATACAGAGGCAGTTTAAACCACGACCAACTGCTTGCTGTAAACGATCAGGCAAGTTTTTTAAAAAAAGCTTACTGAGTCACACCATAAATAGGATATAAAACTGGCTGCAGGAATGTATGTATAAAGAAGGTATTCTCATCTTCCAGCATAAAACTTCTAAAAGTCCTTAGGGCTACCAGTAAAGTTGCTTCACGAGAGGAAGCTATACCTCAGTCTGTCATTTAAAGAGTGGCTACACAAGGAGGAACAGTTCAATGAAAGTGGGCCTTAGTGAATCATGCTGGTGTTTGCAATTAATTTATGAAACTTCTAGCTGTAACTAAAACATATTTCTTCACAAGATGAAGAACTCTGCCTTTATTTTTCACTGGATAGCTAGATTAAAATAAGAGGTAGCAACTTTTTTAAAAGAGACATTCCCGGAGCTGCAGGTGCTTAGTGCCACCTTTTTCTGGTTTTGAACAACTAAATCTCTCCAAGGAGAAGGAAGCTACTAACCTTCATCCCAAAGGAGGATCACCAAGCGCTGTTGCAATAAAATCAACAGCTGTTAAATGTATCAGTGGTTGGTGTGCCAGAATTGGTATTTCGGACTACAAGCATATATCCATCAAGTCTCCTGCTGCTCCAACTCCAGCTGCTGCTGCTATTGCCCCTGCTGAGCAGGCAGAGCATACAGTGGCGTGCAGTGAAGAATCAAGTTAAAACCAGTTTGTGTGGGTAGGCAGTAACAGCCAAGGGCTGGAAGGAGGAAAGGATACTTTCCTAAGGGATGAAAAGAGCAGAAAAGGAAAGTTTCTGAGCAAACACAACATTTCAAAAAGGGCTACTATCACCACACTAAAGGACTCAATTAAGATAAAGTTCCTATTTTGCTAGGCACTATATATGAGCTTGTTAATTATGTAAGTATACGGTACTTGGTAAACAGGTATCTAAATATCTTGGGAAGCTACAACCAATTTTTGACCTTAGCCCTGTGAGTAACTGCCAAAAAGGCATTATACTTTCAAATACACAGATGCCAAATTTGGAGGCTGTGTTCACTCTCCGAAGATACAGATCTGAATAATAATGATCTTTCAATTCAATTATGTAATCAATTCAGGGTTTTGAAAGAGCTAAACATATACTTACACATATAGATCTAACTAAGATATAATCTGCACAATTTCTCAGTGTAGCTTTTCATGAAAAAACAAAAATAAAATCTGCCTGAAAATACAGCATTGACTCTAAACAAAATGATAAAATAGTCAAACAGCAAAATACCAGTTTCAGGGACAGAGACAACTAGGAGTGAGGTATTGTAATTTCTCATTGTTACTTCAAATCCTTAACCACTAAGGCAGTAGAAATCAGCAAAAAACCCCATGTCCACATTACAGTAGTACACCTTACATTTTATAAGATGTAATGAGAGAACCTGTTCTATGTAAACTGTATATGTTAAGTAAAGGAAAGCTCTGGTAAATGCAGAAATCTGTTTTTTGAGGTAACTTTTGTGAGACAAATTAAGGAATTTATTTTGTCAGTATTTTTCCAATCTTTTCTGACATTAGTTTATATCATTATAACAAAGCCACATTTCTATACACATTTCTTTACTCCCAACTGTTAAAAATTTTCTGAAAATACTAATTATTTGGTCATGGTTTAAATAAAAGAAAAAAAAAAGGAGTAATAGGAAATTCAAGGCTCTGAAGATTATTAGGAATCATATTGTGACAAGTTTCATAATCACAATACACCAGGAAGACAAAAGCAAGACCAGCAGGATAATCACAAACAAACTGTGCCCTGTCAATTATCAAGTGAACTTTATGCTATCAAGTAAGCATCCAGCAATTTTATAGTAGCTTTTAAACCTCTTCAAAGTCAGATTATCTTTCTGTTCTACGTGCACTACTTGTAATGAATATGGTATCGGTCACACAGGACCAAGTTTTCCTACTTGGCCCCAAATCAAATATCTAAATTTTAGTTGCTAGTTAAATACCTTCATTGCAATATTCAGCTAGAAGTTCCTGTCCACAAAATACATTCTACTGAGGAATACTGAGCTAACAAGAATATCGACATTTTTCTCCCCACACAAGAGCTAATTGCTATACATTACCAACAACATAATCACTACGAAATCATTTAGCACTAGAAGTGGCTCCAAGACAGAAAAAAACCCAACAATTTCATTCAAGACACTAGCCTTCTTATAACGTACTCACATACTCATACTGAAGACATCACTGCCAAAAATTGTTTAAAAAGTCTTTTTAACATGAAAAATTACAGAAATGTATGTATTTGCTATTTTAAGTAGCAACTGAAGAAACTCAGAGAGGAAACAAAGCGAGACAATTTAAACCATTCTAGAACCAGCTACCAAAAAGTCACAAGCTTTAATATGCATGTAGCTATTCAGCAGCTTATATGTCACTCATTAATCACACTTTATTTTCTCCATAAGGCAATTACTTTCAGCTTTGTAGTAATCCAGGATGAACGCTTTCAGAACTCAGTCCTAAAACAAGATGAGTAAACTCATTGTTATTATAAAGCCTTTTAAGTAATGGTGTCCAGAACCATATTTTAAAATTATTTTGAACATACATTTTAAATCTCCTGATTCAATAGTCCACTTAACTGCATGTTTCCAAACTCTCAATTATGTAACTTTGTCTAATAATTGAAACCTCTTGCCACCTTGGCTGTAATAACTATCACAGCAAACATAACACCAAGCCTGTTTAAAAATCGCTGATGGTCTCTGGCTCTGACATCTATCAGTCTGATTTCAATTTTCAACATACCTTCTTCATGCTACTTTGTTACTGCACAATAAACTCTTTTGTAGTGCTGAAGAGCTCAATGCAATCTAGATTAACGCCATACTGGCGCTGGCTTCTACTTTATTAAATAAAAACCAAGGTACACTCTCGATGCAAACCCCCTCCGCTTTACGGTAGCCGAGCCCTACAGCTGCTGCTTTGCGACCGCACGTTATCTGAACAGGAAAATGTTCGCTCCTTCCATCAACGTTATCGAAGCTGAAGCTTCGTTCATCGCAGCTGCATTCGTAACCGAGGCCTGCTGACCCCCTAACCTTTCAGGCCCGACTCCAGGCAACCACGCCGGCGGCTCCAGCGGCACAGCCCGTCCCTCACGCCCAAG